TAATAATAATAATAATAATAATAATAATAATAATAATAATAATAATAATAATAATAATAATAATAATAATAATAGTAATGATAACATTGATGTAATAATAGTAACAATTTGCATTTGCACCGCGCATCGCACACTCCTGAGCATGCTCTCGCTATTTTAAAATAGCAGACCCTAGAACGCTCTGGAACAATTCTGGCCTTCCAGGAAGCATAAAGCTCAATCTTCTGATTACGTGAGCTAAAATACAAACTAACCGCCAAGCAATTTTCGCTGTCTGCGGCCGGGTACCCAAACCCACATACGTGACACCGTCTGCTCGCTGCGGTGAAGTGAGGAAAATTTAAATGAAGCGCCTTTTCTAATAATACAACATTGTACCTTGTCGGGGTTCGAACCCACTAGCTTGCGATTTTTTTTTTATCTGGTCGTTTATTGGTGGTTTCTTTTTGTTGGTTTCAACACCTTCTATGTATGTTCAAAAAAGTATTTTTGTGCGTATTTTACTGAAAAAAGTTTGTCAAAGACACACAAAATATAAATTTGTAGCTTTCAGAGACAATTCAACTTTGGAAGTCACAGGATTTCTGCAGCTATTTTTTCACTAATAATTTTACTTTTGGCACAAGGCGACTCTCTCTTCCTTCAGCCGCAGATATTTTGATATTTTGAACTCTAGTCTAGATACATGAGGAGTTTTTTCATCAAAAGGTAGGCAATTGAACAGGCTTTGAGGTGATACGTGTACCAATTGCTCCGTATGCCCCAAAATTGACGAGCGAATGATTCCGCCGTGTCGGGACACAATTACTTATTTACTCAGGCGCTCGTCAAAATAATGAAATCAAAGAATTCGACATCTTTGGGGCTGGTGGGCTATATTTTTCTAATTTTCTGTTTTTAAGTCAGCACCTTATAAGTCCATTTGAAAACACATTTTTCATTGTGTGGATTTTACTGAAAAACATTGACTAAAGGCGCAAAAATGGAAATTTTCAGTTTCCAAGGACTCTCAGGTTATGGAAGTTACCAAACTTTGGCGGCCATTTTGTCGCTATTTTGACCTCTGAAATCAGGCGACGCTGACTTCCTTCAATCACAAATATTTCGACTTCAATGCAATATAGATGGATATTTTTTCACCATAAAGAAGGTTAATGAACAGGCTTTAAGATGATACCAATAACCCCAAGTGCCCAAAATATGACGAGCGCCTGATTCCACCACGTCGAGACACATTTTTGTTTCATCTCTTCCCCACAGAATGAAAGCAGTCATTTTTGTCCTTGTGCTGGTGGGGTGCATCGTGCTGTCCACGCAGTGGTCTCCTAACCAATGTTTCTACAATGGACAAGTAAGATCTGCCGTTTCATCTCATTACTCTTCTTCTCCCCACCCCCATCCTCCTCCTCCTCCTCCTCCTCCTCCTCCTCCTCCTCCTCCTCCTCCTCCTCCTCCTCCTCCTCCTCCTCCTCCTCCTCATCCTCCTCCTCCTCCTCCTCCTTCTCTTTCTCCTTCTTCTTCTTCTTCTTCTTCTTCTTCTTCTTCTTCTTTTTTTTTCTTCTTCTTCTTCTTCTTCTTCTTCTTCTTCTTCTTCTTCTTCTTCTTCTTCTTCTTCTTCTTCTTCTTCTTCTTCTTCTTCTTCTCCTCCTCTCTCTCTCTCTCTCTCTCTCTTCTTCTTCTTCTTCTTCTTATATATATATATATATATATATATATATATATATATATATATATATATAACTTTGAAAAATACTTAACTTTTCACAAATGCTTCACAGTATCATTACCGTAATAAACATTTCGCGTTTGATTCACAGACTTACCAACCTGAAGAGACGACGACCATGAATGGAGTTACATACGTATGTAAAGGATATGATAGATGGGAACCTATTATCGGACAACCACCAGGAAATGCACCCGCCCCTCCACCGCCACCACCGGGATATAAATAAATGCATTGTATTTACCGTCTGGAAGATTAACTATACCATCATTCATTCGGCCTTTGACATTAAGACATAGCCTGACTGAGACATTGAGCAATTCTGATACTTGCTGCACAAGAAAGATGGAGGAGGAGGAGGGGGGGGGCGCTTATACAATATTTTGAAATGAACTTTTTGTCCTGAACAGGATTATCCTCCCCCCCCCCCCTCCCCTAGACCCGACAGAAGAATGATAGTAGGCGGTGGATTAAAGGATATGCTTCACAAATCAGCGGGTCTAAGTTATAAGATTGGTGTAATTTTGAAATTAAATAAACTGTTTTGAGTTAATTTCTTTTCAGCAGCTGCTTTGACATAAACGCAAATAAAAGAATTCATGTTTCCTTTTTCGTCTTTTGTGTGTTTAATAACAGCACCGTCTATCTCGGTGACTAAATCTTACACCACCAAGCTTTTGCTCCAAGCTGAGCCTGCAAAACCGGATATTTATAAATTTTACACACAATCACGCACGTACACACAGGTATACACGTACACTAAAACACACATATAAACACACACACACACATACTCACACACAAATACATACACATACTCGCATAAACAAATGCAAAGATAAACATTATGCGAGCACACATACAATCTCACCATGAGATTTTAAAAAATCCAAATTATGTTCTATCTGCTTTATCAAAATAATTCTGAGGCGTTATCAAGATTTTCAAAGAATTGCATTAAAAAAAGCTTGACATGATGTGAAACTCAATACACCTGGACTTCAAATTTCTCAAAACCAGATGCTGAGCCGATAGAACTTTGTAATTCTGAGCTAATGACATGACAAGCTTTTCCAGAAGAAGTTCTTTGAATATCTTGAAAACAACTCTGAATAATCTAACGATTTTGAGAGAACAGATAGAACATTTAATGGTTTCGGACCTCGGGGTCTTAGAAATTCAAAACGGCCAAAATAAATATCAGATAGAACTGTGTAATTCTAGGAAAGTGACTTGAAGAAATGTAAAAAAAAACAAAACATGCAGGGGGTATTCTAGAACTAGAAGACGTATTTCCAACTTATGCAACTTCTTGTTTTTAATTAGGGGAAGATGTATTTCCAACGTATGCATGTTCTTATCTTTAATTAAGGAAAATGTATTATGGCTTAAATCTTCTTGTGGGCAGCATATTTGGTTTGCGCAGGTCTGGTTTGCTCCTTCTTTGCCATCGCACTTTTGTCCTCCTTATCTTTCTTCCTTCTTGTTTGTCTTTATTACTCTATTGTAACGCCTTTGGCTCATTTTAAACCCCTGCTCTTCCCGTCTGATTCCAAGCAAGCGTCTCAGCTGACGGATTTAGATTTATTTCAGTTTTACTTATATCAATTCACAACAAGTTGATATCATGATATACAAAACCGTTTACGAAGTCACTTGAGGCAGGTTGCGGGTGGTTGGAGGGCGCCACTGGTAGGTCCTGCTTCTTTACTTTCCCTCTGTTGTTTCTCTCTGTCTGTATTACTTTTTGCCCCAGCATGAAATGACCAAACAAAACTAAAAAATATAGAGACAGGTAATCTAGTTTCGCTAGTTTGTTTCAATCCACCAGAGTCGATAGTCTAGGTAAAAAAATAATAAAAGAGAGGCTGGGAGGGAGGGGGCAGGGTAATATTTTTAAAAATTAATATACCGTTCGTTTCTGGGAAATTAACTCAACTCGTCGATATCTTGCTCGTTCACACAAGGGGAGAAAGAAAAAGAGAGGAAGGGAGAGAGAGAAAGAGAGAAAGAGAGAAAGAGAGAGTGAAAGAGAAAGAGAGAGAGGGGGAGAGAAAGAGAGAGAGAGAGAGAGAGAGAGAGAGAGAGAGAGAGAGAGAGTGAGAGGAGAGAGGGTGAGAAAAGAGGGGGGAAGCGGTAGGGGTGAAAGCAGATACAGAAAACCGAGACGAATAAAAGGGTGCATGGGGTGTTTGGGGGTAATGATATAATATAAGACAGAAATCTGTGAGGTGAGGAGTATGTTTGATAGTCTTTGCCAAATTTCTTTTTTTGAAATGCTCACGTTAAGTCCATGTACTTTAATGCCTGTTTATAAAGAAATAAATACTAGTGCTATACAACTCTCTAGTGTAGGAATGTGCTTTACTTTCTCTATCAGATCTGTTCTATTGTCCAATTGAAGAGTCCGTTATCATCTCGGGCTGTGGGTTGTTGGTGAGTGTTCTGGTTTGGTGAAATGGTAAAGGTTTAACGCCCCTATCAACACTATTAGGTTATTGAAGAGACGGGCCTCCGAGTTCAACGTCAATCTCCAAAAGGACCGAGACAAAAATAGGAAATTTGTGTCAAGTGTCTTTCCCAAGGACACAACGTCGGACGGAGCTGAGGCTCGAACCCCCGAAACCGCAATCTCACGATTATGAGTTCCATGGCCTAACCTAACCACTAGGCCACCAGACCACCGACACCACTCTCTGGTTTGGTTTGCTCCTTCTTTCCTATCAAACGTTTATCGTCCTTCTTCTCTCCTTCTACTTTGTGTATGTGTTACTCTCTTCATTATCATCATCATCATCATCATCATCATCATCATCATCATCATCATTGCCTTTCTCACCCTGCACCAGGGTGTAGGCCACGGACAAACACCTTCCACCTTTCTCTATCCTGGGCTAGCCTCTTGATGTTATTCCATGTCTGCCCACTGTTCTGTACATCAATTTCAGTGATTCTTCTCCAGATTCCACGAGGTCTTCCCCTTGATCTCTTGCCCTGTGGGTTCCAATTCAAAACTTTCTTTGTTGTGCAGCTGCCTGACTTCCTGGTTACTCTCTTGCAACACTTCAAATCTTCGGCACTGAAATGATACCATTGTGTTGCAAGTGCCCTAAAACGCTTACAAAACTGAAAACGTCTAAGGCTTGACACTGAAGGGGTTATTTAATCAACACCCTGTGGCCTTGATTCTTCGAGCAATTTCATGGGTTAAAAGACAAGTAGGTATACCCCCCCCCCCTCCCCTTCTTTATGATTGGTACAACTACTCCTCCTAAAAATAACCAAAATTCCCCCCTCCCCTGCCACCAAAAAATGAATAATAAAGTCACTTAAATAACCCCCCCACCCTTCCTCATAAAGAAACGAACTAAACCAATCTAAAACTTAACCCACCCCCCTCCCCCATTAATCTAACCATTGCAGACTTCCCTCACCCTTATTTCCGAAGGAGTTTACTCTTGTTTTCAAAGCGAATATAATCTATATAAATATATCAGAGGAACGATCTAGTCACATCGCAAACATACACCAGTTCTATAGGCCACTTTTGAATTAAACATAGCTTTCAAAGTTTGACGTCAATCTCCGAATTCAGAAAGGTGTCTTTGACAAAGACCTCCATAACCGCTCACATTTGTCGGAGTTCGTCAACAATCTTAACGGTTCAAGTTCCCAGTATAAAATCTAAAGTTGAAAGGGGGGCAGACATAAAAAAGGTGCAGGAGGGGGAGTGGGGGGAAAGTGGGAGGGGGGGTGGAGGGCTTGAGGAAGGAATAAATTTCTAGAAACTGTTACGCTATTACATTTACATTCTTTTTTTCATCATTTGATTTGTAACACTCGCAGCGATCTGTTTATATGTTATGCTTTTTACGTCGGTCACATTTCTCCTTTCTCCCAGGGCACAATGAAACGGAAATAAATTGAGATATAATTACACCCAAAAATGTGGGTGATCTTTTCACACCACCCTTCGCTTCTCCCGTGCACGAAAAATAGGCCAACTTGTCCGAAAAGGACGATTTTGGGTGTTTCTTTCAATTCTCTCACGTCTACACAAAACGAAAGAAAAGACATTTTTTGACTTAAAATCTTTAGAATCTTCAGGTAAATTGCCCGCCTGTTTCTATAAAAGCAGAGAGATTTCAGTTTTCACAGCGTATCTTTGGACCAAGTGACCACGTGTCAAGATTTGTGCAGGAAGACTCAGAAGTAAGTATTTTCGCCAATTTTATATGACAATTTCCTGACTTTTCTTCTCATCTTAAAAATTTTGCAACGACCGTTTACATTCGCGCTTTACTTACACGCCTGGAAGAGTCACAAATAAAGGTAATAATGATGTTAATGATGTTAATGAAATGCAGATAGAAACAACAACAACAAGAAGAACAACAAGGACAGCAATAATATTAACAATGATAATAATATAGTAACAATAATAATAATAATGATAATGATGATGATAAAAGGCTTTTTAATGGCTTCATCGTTCGACATGCGGTTTTCGCCAAAATACTCTTTAAAATATTCTCCAGATCAGGGCACGCTTCGTTTTTTCAGTTTTGAGACAGTTTTGCTGCAAAAAGCTAAACTTCTTTATTTCGCCTATCGCTTTTGTAGGCCGACGCTTCTGTCTCTGTAATTTTAGAAAATCCGCTAGGTTTGTTTATTTCAAGTCGTACTTCCGATCGATACTATCGCGCATTGTCGCGCAATACTGAGCACTATTTTAAATGTGCGACCCATATAGATCTAGCCTCATGTTTTATTTTTCTACTTGGTGCTAAATTCGACTGCGATCCTTTCGTTTGATGAACATCTTCGCTTTTTCTGGACTCCTTTGTCAAATTATTTTTCTTGCTACTGGGAACAACGTCAACAGATCTTAGATAAGAATCTAGATCTAGACCTAGATAGCGCCTGACCATGCCGAAAAGAAAAGGAAGTTCTACAGTTGGAACCCCTCGAGCTCGCAAAGGTCGAGGTGGTCTAGATCAACAACAAAATGATGGGGACTCTCTAGATCTGAATCTCCCAAAAGCGTTCCTCTACATTGTCAATTCCTTTCAGTACGAGTGTTACATTGGGGAACTGACGACCCCTTTCAACACTATTAGTAGTATTAGGTGACTTAATTAAGATGCGGAAACTCCGAGATAAATCTATCTCCAAAAAGGAAATTCGTATAGAGTGCCGTTACCAAGGACACAACGTCGGACCAAGCTGAGGCTCGAACCCCCGAAGCCCCAGTCTCACAAATACGGGCCCAATAGCACAACTACTACACTACAGTATTTTGTTGCCCCGCTCTGGCCCAACGATGTTCAAGATGGCCATCTGCTGGGGAGATTTATAAAATTCATATCCCTTTACTCAATATAGCAACAATGACATATTTATAATATATTAGTCAGACATCAAAGAAAAAATCCAACTAATCATTTATTATCATAAGCACATGATAACCATGGTAACCAAGCAAACATCCGCCGTATTGGATAATTTTATAAAATTTCAAAAGCAAACTTTTCTCTTGGTTTTCGTCCGTTGGCTTTCAGTTTTAGTAAGTACAAACTACAATACATGAAATGAACAAATAA